ATTAAAACAACAGAATAAAAACAAGTAGAATAAGAATAAGTTACCAATCAAATGAAATCAGTATTTAAGCAATACATTTTTGCTACAGAGGTGGCACAGAAGAACACACAAGTGGATTGTAGGTGTATTTTCTGACGTTTAATGAGGCTCAGAGGTTGCATGAGTGCAATTAAATTCATGTTGAGGTTAATGTTTTAAATATAACATTTTGAATATAGAAATATTAAATGATTTAAATAACAGAAAAGATACTTTTAAAATTAAACTAAAACTGCCAGCAGGTGGCGGCAAGTCACTGATTTTATCACTGAATCATTCATTCAATTGATTCGTTCGAACAGCTGAATCATTCAGGAACGAAGTACGTGACTGTCTTTATGAATGGGTAATTGAATCATTGACTCACTAGATTCGTTTAAAAAAAACACTTTGTTTGTTATAATGAGAGGATACTTCTGTGATACATTACTCAATGCTGCAGAAACACGTAATTACGTTAGAACCTTTGAAGCTCCCTCAGCGCAAATACAAATATGCTGATCGGGTCAGTCGCACAGGTGCTCCTAAATATTATTTCATAGTCGCACGCAGTAGTTTTCAGTCGCAAATGCGACTGAAATGGTCGCACTGAAGAGCCCTGACAGATATGAAAAATTTCTCTTGAGCACTCAAATTTTTCTTACTTTTTTATCAGCTATTTCTCAGCAGGAGAATGTCCAAATGAAATAAAAAAAAATTCTGTTGAAAATAAAGAAAGTTTTCTATCAAAAGATACCAACCTTTTGACTCTCCTTGCTATAGTCTTCGAGTTATGAGTCATTATTTTTGTGTATGTCACTCAGAAAAAACATAAACTTCAGTGAGGCAAAAATGCCCTCAGCTTTTAGGGCTTAAAGGGTTCATTGATGACAGAATTTAATTTTTTTCTGAACTATCACTTTAATGTGTTGTAAAGTAGGCTTATCTGTCCTAAAGGTGACTCAAAGGGAAACTGTATGTGTTAAAACGTTATCCCCTTTCTTTCTGACTTCACATTTCTGTTTTACCTGGCCTAAAGGCTGATTTATACTTCTGCGTCGGACCTACGCCGTAGCTTACGCATAGACTCACACCCATACGCCGTAGCCTGACGTGCACCTCTCCAAAAATCTAACAGCGCGTCAATTTTACGCAGACCACAAGCGCTGTGATTGGTCTGCTAGAACCCCTCCCTCCATATGTACTTGAGTTTTGTGTGTTTATGTGCACTTTAAAATATTTTTGTCACACCTTCTAATATAAAAAAACAAAGCAAAGAACAAGTGTCTTATCATTTATGATACTACATTTCCCCAGACACATGAGAGTCATGAGCTTTCAAACATTGCATACATTCACTGTATATATGCGTACGCTGTGTCAAGACACCTTTTCCTGCTGCCGCGGGATAGAATTAACTCACTTTCTTTTCTAGATGTTCGCAAACACCTTGATGAGCCAAAAGGGTTTGTGATCTTTCTCAATCCAAAATTGAACATTTGCATCTGATCAGCGCTCTGGTCTCCGATAGTTTGTCAGAAGCATTTTGCAACAAAAAAAACAAAAACATCTCAAGTGAAATTCTTTGATAAATTGTAGGTATAGGGTTAATGTGAGTCACGCTGTTGGTCTCTTCACAGAAGTAGCATGCATCACTCTGACTAGACCGTAATTATCTTGGTAGTCACAAGGCTTTAGATTTTATCGTGTAGTGCATGTTGTGCACAGTCAATGCTTTACAGTGCAGGTTCTGAAGAGCCATGTATATTTCACAGAAACATTTGTTCAGCTCACGCAGATGATGACTGGCACACATACACTTTAACAGAACAGAGATGTTCACAGAGAGCCAGGAAGTCAAGGTTGAGCGCAAAAACAGCTATTTTTCCTGTCTGTGGCTGCCGTTTACTTTTTGTTTAGGTGGTGTTGTTTTTGATCGTGATGAGTCGGCATGTAATGTGGGGTCTTGTCAGGTTTTGATTTTGGTGAATTAACAGGGTCACTCAGATATCTGATTTCTTGGGCTATTGGCACAAATTGGCATATAATGGAGCCATTGATTGGGGAAGATCATTCCTTGAGCGCACACACTCCGTCCCCACACCCGTTTCAAATCACTCACACTGAAACTTGTGGTCTCGTTTTGGTTCATGAGTATGTAACTGTCTGAATTTTCAGTTGAATCATCAGTCCCTCTGTTGAGTGAATGCCATAGAGATCAAGGATAAATGGCTCAAACAGTTAGCTAGTTGAATGAATGTAATTATTTTTTGTTCATTTGTCTTGTTTCTTGTTTTTCATTTGTTCACATGTTTTGTTTAATTATTGGCGGAAGAAATATTTATTTATATATATTTTTATAATCATATATTTATAAATTGATAATTTGTATCAATATGTATATAAATATAGTATTTAATGTATTTAATATAGGGGTTTGTTCAAATCACTAGCAAGAGCCATTATTAAAAAATATATAATTAATATATATCTTCCGCTCTCTCTCTCTCTCTCTCTCTCTCTCTCTCTATATATATATATATATATATATATATATATATATGGCTCTTGCTAAGGAATGACCATTACTATTACTATATTTGCTTGTTGCTTGGTTCCTCTTAAGTCTGCCTTGTATTTTTTTTAATAATTAAGAATATTGTTATTTTATGCAGTAATAACATATTTCTGTCCTAAAATATTCACTTTCATGTGCCCTTGTTATGCACTACTGCACCAGAAAGAGAGGCATAACAATGCTCATGTGTGCTAGAAGTATTTGTCTAACTGTTGGATTGCAATATGGAACTGGAATTTGAAGTGCACAATAATCGCAGTTAAACATTCATGATCAGATCAAATAATCACTACAGGCCTACTTGGCAAATAAGCAACACCCCAGCAATCACATAGCAACACTGGTGCTGGCAAATTCAGCACGGGTGAGTAACTTGTTGTGACATGTTGCAGTAATGAAGTGTGCGAGATTACCCCATATTTGTCAATATAAAAAAAAAATATGTACAGAATATGAAAATATGTGAGGGTTTCTTCCCCATTGTGTCAGTGTGTTTTCTGTACTTAACTTCTTGTGGTTTAATTTTGAGCTGCTCACACACACACACACACACTTACGCTGAGAAACGAAACGCTTGCGGTTTGGTGTGTGTAACTGATTAGTAGTGGGATTCTAGATGTCTACACCTTAACCAGGTTGCAGTTTCATTTCTTTCTTTTTCTCTCATTTTCTTGCTTTCTCTCTCTCTCTCTCTCTCACTCACACACACACACACACACACCCACACACACACACACACACACACACACATTTTGGTGAATTAACAGGGTCACTCAGATATCTGATTTCTTGGGCTATTGGCACAAATTGGCATATAATGGAGCCATTGATTGGGGAAGATCATTCCTTGAGCGCACACACTCCGTCCCCACACCCGTTTCAAATCACTCACACTGAAACTTGTGGTCTCGTTTTGGTTCATGAGTATGTAACTGTCTGAATTTTCAGTTGAATCATCAGTCCCTCTGTTGAGTGAATGCCATAGAGATCAAGGATAAATGGCTCAAACAGTTAGCTAGTTGAATGAATGTAATTATTTTTTGTTCATTTGTCTTGTTTCTTGTTTTTCATTTGTTCACATGTTTTGTTTAATTATTGGCGGAAGAAATATTTATTTATATATATTTTTATAATCATATATTTATAAATTGATAATTTGTATCAATATGTATATAAATATAGTATTTAATGTATTTAATATAGGGGTTTGTTCAAATCACTAGCAAGAGCCATTATTAAAAAATATATAATTAATATATATCTTCCGCTCTCTCTCTCTCTCTCTCTCTCTCTCTCTCTATATATATATATATATATATATATATATATATATGGCTCTTGCTAAGGAATGACCATTACTATTACTATATTTGCTTGTTGCTTGGTTCCTCTTAAGTCTGCCTTGTATTTTTTTTAATAATTAAGAATATTGTTATTTTATGCAGTAATAACATATTTCTGTCCTAAAATATTCACTTTCATGTGCCCTTGTTATGCACTACTGCACCAGAAAGAGAGGCATAACAATGCTCATGTGTGCTAGAAGTATTTGTCTAACTGTTGGATTGCAATATGGAACTGGAATTTGAAGTGCACAATAATCGCAGTTAAACATTCATGATCAGATCAAATAATCACTACAGGCCTACTTGGCAAATAAGCAACACCCCAGCAATCACATAGCAACACTGGTGCTGGCAAATTCAGCACGGGTGAGTAACTTGTTGTGACATGTTGCAGTAATGAAGTGTGCGAGATTACCCCATATTTGTCAATATAAAAAAAAAATATGTACAGAATATGAAAATATGTGAGGGTTTCTTCCCCATTGTGTCAGTGTGTTTTCTGTACTTAACTTCTTGTGGTTTAATTTTGAGCTGCTCACACACACACACACACACTTACGCTGAGAAACGAAACGCTTGCGGTTTGGTGTGTGTAACTGATTAGTAGTGGGATTCTAGATGTCTACACCTTAACCAGGTTGCAGTTTCATTTCTTTCTTTTTCTCTCATTTTCTTGCTTTCTCTCTCTCTCTCTCTCTCACTCACACACACACACACACACCCACACACACACACACACACACACACACACATACATATACATAAAAAGGATGTATGGCACCGGATTTGAAGACCAGAAGGTTTTACCAGGTAACAGTTATTGTGATGACTACAGTTTCAGAGGTGTTGTTATACTTGTTATAAAGCACTATTGTACTTATTCTTGAATATCTGTGTTTGATGACACACTGCTCTTGTTTCAATGGTAGTTGTGGTTCATTTACCCGCTTTGATGTACTGAATTAAATGTGACGTCTTAGTTGACACCTGATATAATTGCTTTCAATTGTCTTTCGTTCCTTTCGCAACCTTTCACATTGTTTCTTGCTCTCTTTCAGGTAGCACCTGGCTGCAGGCTGCTGATTCGGAGCAGCTGGTAATGACTGCGAGATCTAAGTGCTGAGTTCAACGGTGCGGAGACACCGTCACATCACTGACAGAGAGGCTTTGTGGATGAATCAGCAGAGATTGCAGATGAGATGCCGTTATTGTCTTTCCAAGTGAAACCGAGATGCTGTTGAGAGACTGAAGTTTGGATCTAAAGTCAAGGCGAGTTTCATTTGGAGCGGGATGAAATATGTGCGAGTAGTTGCACAGTGAGACGGATTTCATGTGAGTACTTTGAGGTGAAACATTTTAAGAGTACATGAGTTGGGGAAAGGTTTGCTGTGCTTGTTTTTAGGGCTGTACAATTTGGAGACAAAAAATTGTAATATATCAACATGACCATTAAAAAATCATAATAACAATATTGCACTGGATCATGAGCTGCTTGTGTGTAAAAGAAGTGCTGCGCTTGACTCTGAAATACCATACATTCGTTCAGTTAAATCACAGCCTTTTGAAATTTGATAATCACTCTAAGCCATATCGTGACTTGGGTTTTATTTTGAGTTATCATGCAGCCCTAAATTATTCGTCTTATTCATATTCTTTATCTTCCTGTCTCACTATTCTCGTTTCCTTTCTTTCTCTTTCATGTGCTTGTGAAAGTAATGGAGGCTCGGTTTGGGCTAGGCTAAAACGTCTCTCCTCATCTCTCCTCCTTTACGCTCTCTTGCCCTCCTCTCATTCATTTCGAGAGGAGGGGTACATTGCCTCCTGTATCGCCCTTGACAGGAATCGGTGGTTATTCTCAAACATAAAGAAGGAAACTCCAATTTAACTGAGTGATCGGCTGCCGATGAAGTCCTGCCAAACACCGAAGGAGGAGGTGTCCGGCCCAGAGACGATGTCTCAAGAGGAGGAGCAAATGACTCAATCCTCCCAAACATACTTCCACAACACCTCTGCTCCTGATGCCGAGCTGTCGGCAAAGCTGTACAAGCGAGAAGCTGCAGCCAAACTGCACTCGGTGGTCACTGACAACACGATGGCTACGAGACCTGAGTTGCAGATGCCCTCAGACCTAAATCCCCATTCTGCCCCGACTCAACCATTTTACCGGGAAGGGGCCGGAGCAGCTGCGACAAAGAGCGGAAATGGAGGGATGTCGGAAGATTCTGAAGGCGAAGAGGAAGCCGGGGCGGAGGATGAATTCAAACGAGGACAGATCATCGTAGAAGTCAACCTCAATAACCAGACCCTGCACGTGTCCAAAGGAGATGACGGAGCCAATGCAAACACTGCAGGAGACGACAAGAGCAATAGTGAGGAGGAGAAAGAAGAAGATGAGGAGGAAGAGGATGACGAGGAGGAGGAGGAAGAAGAAGAAGATGATGACAGTGTTGAAGATGACTACAGTGCTGAGGAGGATCTGGATGAGGAGGAAGAGGAAAACAACAGTCGGCGAACAAGAGCGCAGCGGGCGCACAGGGGTCGAGCGGCTGCTTCACCATGGCGAAAGAGTCGCCGCGTAACCGCTTCATCAACTGGGAGCGTAACCAAAGCAACCGCCGGCGTTACAACCAGGGGGCGGAGGAAGAATGCAGAGGTCCCGCCCCAAAAGCGTAGACCTGCCAAGATGGCCAAAAGCTCCGCCTCCTCCACCTCAGGAGCGACAGTCGCTGGAGGAGGAGGAGCCAAGGGAGAGGGTGAGGAGAAAGAGACGCTAGCGTGTGAAAAATGTCCACGTGTGTTCAACACCCGCTGGTACCTGGAGAAGCACATGAATGTGACGCACAGACGCATGCAGATCTGCGAAAAGTGCGGGAAGAAGTTTGTGCTAGAGAGTGAACTGGCTCTTCACCAGCAGACGGACTGCGAGAAGAACATCCAGGTGAGAGGATCTTCCCAAACTTGTATTGAAAAGCCACAGCCTTAGGAAATTACGAGTATTGTTAATAGACATTACTCCAAGCAGAGGCCTTATTTAATGTGACTCAGTTGGAAATGAGATTGGAGTGGGTCCATGGTGCTGCTACAAGGTATTGCACCAAGGCTGAAATTTCAGTGTTGTCATCCCAAGAATAGAAGAGTCTTATTTAAGAGTCTTATACAGTAGTGAACACACACACACCGTGAACACGCACCCGGAGCAGTGAGCAGCCATATTGCTGCGGCACCCGGGGAGCAGTTGGGGGTTCGGTGCCTTGCTCAAGGGTCTCACTTCAGTCGTGGTATTGAAGGTGGAAGAGAGCGCTGGTCATTCACTCCCCCCACCTACAATCCCTGCTGGACCTGAGACTCGAACCCGCAATCTTCGGGTTACAAGTCCGACTCTAACATTAGGCCATGAATACCCCATAATATTTTTGTTTTAATTAATGTTTCTGTACTATTTTTGGTCAAATAAATGTAGCCGTGGTGAGCATAAGACTCTTCTTCTAAAAGCATTAAAAAAATCTTACCAACCCCAAACTTTTAAACGGTAGTGTATGTGCAACACAACAATATGATATTGAAGGGGTGGTTGACCAGTTTTTTTTTTCTAGGCTTGATTGTGTTTATGGGGTGCAGTCTAACATGTGTTAATGCATTTATTTTATTTTATTTTTTAACATTATTTTTCACATAATTTACCTTTATTCTACACTGCTCTGTCCCTTCTCCCATAAACGTGCTGATCATTTCCTTCTTTTATGAAGCCCCTCCCTCAGAAATAGGCGATGGGCTCTGATTGGTTAGCTAGCCCAGTGTGTTGTGATTTGGCTAAACCACCTCTAGTGTGCGTCTAATCGTCCCGCCCCTCTCCTCAGCGGCATGTGCTCCGGTTGTATTGTAAACAATGGCATCGTCAATATTGCTTATCAGTTTGAGCCCGATTGAGATGCAGAGGATATTATTGAAGAGGATCGCGTAGAACCTGTGCAAGCACGGCTTTTAATGGTATGTTTTTTTGTTTGTTGTTGTCTCATACTTTTAGATATGCTGTTATTTGTAAATGCTAATGCTTCTGTTAGCTTTTAATATATGGTTTTATCCTGATTAAAGCTTTAATACAGTACGGCAACCACACGAGCGTCCATGCATAACGCTTCTAATAGCTATAGTATGTGAAAATAAGTGTATAAATGGAACAGTTCATTGTTGGAGCTGAGCTGAATGAGAGAGAGAGAGAGAGAGATGCAGAGTGTGTGCAGAGCAGGGGGACGCGAGAAACAGTATTAAGAACCGCTGCTTTAGAACATTGATTTTGAGTCTTGTGAATACATTAGAATCGTTAGAAGACAGAATTACAATTCATATATGAATAGATTTTTACGTGCACCTCTAGTTTTCTCTTCCTCTTCTCTAAAGCAGCGCAGCATGGCCCCGCCCCCTTTGCTGCCTTTTCCTGAGGGCGGGGTTTATCTGGGTTTGTGATGTCACAAACCCGGGAAGTAACTTGTTGTAGTCCCTACCAGCCGTTTTTGTAGGCATTAAACTGCCAGGATTATAAAAGACGATATCTCCGTTTGCATTGAACTTTCAGCTTCGTAACTTTGCAGATATTGTTTATGCTCAAACGGCAACATTACACACTAACTAATGTTAAAAAAGTGAAATCGCAATCAACCACCCCTTTAAATTAACATTGATTAAAGCTAAAGTTGCAAAAGTTTCATTTTCTTTTCCATATTCAATGCTTAAGTTAGACTGATGTGTGTGACTTGTACTTCAGTAATGATTATTGTAATTATTGATGCACTGTTATAAAAATTCTGGCTTGCACCATTAATTGTTTTCATGTTATGGCTAATAAATTACCAATATTTAAATTATGTAAGGTCAAATAATAAAGTAAACATTAATTCAAATAGCACTATTCTAGTCACATGCTTCACAGTATATAAAAAAAACAAAGCAGTAGATTGTTCCTCTTTTGTTAGTCACTTTGGATAAAATTATCTGCTAAATGCATAAATGTAGATAAAAAATAAAATTTTGTCTAAAGCTATTACAAGACGAAAACTAAAAAAAATTACTAATTTTAAATGCTGAATTTAGGCATTACAACATCATAATGTACAGTATGAATGATGGATATTAATTAAAAAATATATTTTTCATATTAATTTGCTAAGGATTACATTTAATAGTGTAATTATTAAATAATTAGAGTTTTCAATGGCAAAGGAATTATTTTGGTGATGGCAAAGGTAAAAACAGGAGAAATTAACGTGCAATTAAATGTCCAATATCAGCCAACTGAGATAAATTCTCAAATAAATTGATAACTGAACTATAAATATCAGATCTGATTTGAAAGATGAAGTGCATTAAAGGATAGGAATGTTAATTTCAGTCCTGACCAGCAGATGGAGACTTCATACATGTTTAGAGGGCTATTGAGACTCAGAAAAGGGGTCTGAGTAGATAATATCACTAAATATGGTATTCTTGTACTGTATAACAGTGTGTCTCTGTTTTCTTGTGTCTCAGTGTGTGTCATGTAATAAGTCCTTTAAGAAACTGTGGTCCCTCCACGAGCATATTAAGATTGTCCATGGCTTTGCTGAGAAGAAATTTGCCTGTGAGATTTGTGAGAAGAAATTCTACACCATGGCCCATGTCCGTAAGCACATGGTCGGTATGTACAGTAAAACGTGCACACAGACACACTTCAGCACTGCCCGAGTGAACACTTACATCTTCAATATCAAGATAAATGTCTTTACAGCCACAAAATACATATGAAACATTTGTATGCCTAATACAACAGGTCTTCTGTCTGTCTCTAGCTCACACAAAGGACATGCCGTTTACCTGTGAGACCTGTGGAAAGTCTTTTAAGCGCAGCATGTCACTGAAAGTGCATTCACTGCAGCATTCAGGAGAGAAGCCCTTCCGTTGTGAGGTATGAACACATTATATGGCACAATTCATAAGTGGTCTGTTCTGATATTGTGACTGAGAGAAGTTAAAGCAATCCATAAAATACAATGCAAATACATAAAATCATGCATTTGGGATGTGTTAATGTTAAAAGACATACAAGTCATAGACGGATTGAGTGACATGCTTATCCTAGAAAACCATAAATTACAAAATCATCAATAAAAAAATTATTATACAAGGTAAAAGAAGATATAATACCGGTTACATGGTTGGTACAGGTTGAATCCTTGCTTAAAGGGTTACTCCACCGCAAAATGAAAATTTTGTCATTAATCACTTACCCCCATGTCGTTCCAAACCCGTAAAAGCTTTGTTTGTCTTCGGAACACAATTTAAGATATTTTGGATGAAAACCGGGAGGCTTGTGACTGTCCCATTGACTGCCAAGTAAATAACACTGTCAAGGTCCAGAAAAGTATGAAAGACATCGTCAGAATAGTCCATCTGCCATCAGTGGTTCAACTGTAACGTTATGAAGCGACGAGAATACTTTTTGTACGCGAAGAAAACAAAAATAACGACTTTATTGCGCCTGACACAGAATAGCATACGCTGCTTGCGTTCAGCAGATATTCTCCAAAATGGCACTACGGTGATGCGGAGAGGAGACGAATTGTTGAATAAAGTCGTTATTTTTGTTTTCTTCGCGTACAAAAAGTATTCTCGTCGCTTCATGAAATTCAGATTGAACCACTGATGGCAAACTGACTATTTTGACTATGTCTTTCATACTTTTCTGGACCTTGACAGTGTTATTTACTTGGCAGTCAATGGGACAGTCACAAGCCTCCCGGTTTTCATCCAAAATATCTTAAATTGTGTTCCGAAGACAAACAAAGCTTTTACAGGTTTGGAACGATATGGGGGTAAGTGATTAATGACAACGTTTTCATTTTGGGGTGGAGTAACCCTTTAAGTTTTCCAGTGTAAAGTCTGTGTCCTGAACCAAAACCAGTTATAAACCACCGCACCACACAAACCCTTTTCCTGCTCTAGAAAGTCCTCCTTTCCCTTTAATAGGTGCAAGTCTAAGCTGTTGAATTTGGTACAGTATTTACATCCCCCTCTGTTGGCACCATGGTTTCCCCAATTTGAACCCACATTTATTTGTGGGTTTGACTGTTTTCTGTAGTTTTAAACATCAGTGACTCTTTATTAATGTGTCATTTGAAAAATCTAAAATACATTCCTAAAGTGTAAGAGTCTTAATTATAATTATATTCATAAATGTGTGCTTTTCCAGTCTGTCTATATTTACAGCTTTCATTTGTTTTTGGCAAATACTGTAAAATGCCACATCCACAGGACGATGTTGACATGCACGAACAACATATTTAAATAAGAGAGTGAATAAAGATTTGCCTATTGCTGTTAATAGCATTTTGTTTAGTTACATTTGTTTACTGATTTCTTTTGGCTCATTTATGTAAGTGTTGCCATCAGACTAGAGGTATTCTGAAAGTGCTGTTTGTCAGTCTGTGACAAGAGCTCTGTGTGTTTGTGTGTAAATAAATACACAACAGAAAATGCATTTTTTAATCAGACTTTTTCCTTTTAGCATGGAAATATCAGTTATTTCAGCATGAATGACTCTATTGGCACTAATTTCTTTCTGTCTTCTTGACACTGTTCTAACCAATGTTAGGATAGAAAATTCTCCGTTAACATCCACATTTATTTCAGTGGCAGTTTGGCTGATTGAATACACAACATACACTGCTACGGTTATCAATGGAGAATGATGATTTTTGGCAACAGATGAATGTTATTTTCTTTGAATATATTTTCTATTGTAGTTCGAGCAAAATTGACCAAAGTGAATGAATATGGTATGACAAAATGTAGACTAAATGTTTTTGTTTTTGTCAAAATACAAAAACTGTTTTAATGAACTAATTTAATTTAATTTGATGTGCTTTAATTTTAAAAGTTTTTCTTCAAACAATGTAACATGTTTAGTTTATATTTATGGCGCCCTCTTGTAGACTGTTGATTTAAAAATCTTGTTCGCTGATCTTTTCCTCCTAATTGAAATTTTTTTTAGAATTCAAATGTAGAAAATGGTTAAGTAAAAAAGGTTTGTGGATGGACGAACTGCTTGTCAGAGGAATTTTGTCTCATCACTGTTAAGATCAGTGTCTAAGTCTGTTTGCTCCATGCAGATTAATTTTGAATCTCTAATAATGTATTCTCGTTTGGTTTTTCCCTCAGCTGTACTTTGGGGCATCTTTTTCTTAGAAATGCATTGGGGGTTTGCACACCGTGAGGGTGGTCAGGGTGGGGCTCATTGGTTTCAGTTAAGGGTGTAGTGTGAGAGAGTCTGAACGAGTGGGATTGGCCTGATTCCTATAAGTAGTATGTCAATGACAGGCTTATGAACCGTAATGACAGGTTATTATGGTCCTATTACAAAGTTGGGCTTGCTTCAGTCTGGCCCTGATTTGAAGTGAGGCTGAAACAGCATCCACCCACACGCTGTCTATTTCTGTTTGTGTGTGTGTGTGTGTGTGCAGAACTGCGACGAGAGGTTCCAGTACAAATACCAGCTGCGGTCTCATATGAGCATCCATATAGGACACAAGCAGTTTATGTGCCAGTGGTGTGGCAAAGACTTCAACATGAAACAGTATTTCGACGAGCACATGAAGACGCACACAGGTGAGCTGACCCATGGTCAATGAATAGAGTCTTTTGTTAACTTTCACATATACTTGGAAGTTACTTTTACTATAATAATGATTATTATAATCTACAGTGGCCCCAAAAAACATTGCAACAAGCACACTTTTGTGAAAAAATATGCCACAAATTAAATTTTTTTAAATGATATAATCATTTGGGCAGAATGGTCACGCTCTATCTAAATGTCAGACTGAGTGAAGCAGGCCCGTATTGCATATTGTACAATTTATATTAAACGTTAATTAAAATGACGTTAATTACCTCCACCAAAAAATACTGCCCCAAACATATATGATTGACTTTCTTCTGTGGAACACAAAAATTATCCATCTTTGTGAGTCCATATAATGCAAGTGAATGGGTTCCTTAAATTTGACACTTTAAAAATTACACAAAATGAACACAGCGGGTGTGTGTGTGGTTGAAAAAATAATATTTTAAACAGTCGAACGTGGGTACATCATCACGTTCTGAAGCATGACGTAAGCGCATTGTGGGTTTTGAAGTGTTAACTTTGAGGTACCCATACACTTGCATTAAATGGACTCACAGATACGGATTATTTTTCAAAAAATTTTGTTTTGTTCCACAGATGAAAGAAAGTCATATACATCTGGCATGGGGGTTGGTAAATTATGAGAGAATTTTCATTTTTGGGTCAATTATTTCTTAACCCATTTGCATTTAGGACTACAGTAAAATTGAGGTTGACCATAAATGTATATTCTGAAAGCTAGACCAACACAAACGTATTGGAAATTTATTGGAGCATTATTTGTTTATTATAACATCATGCACCCATTTAGCTCTACTAAATTAAAATATGGTTATTGTAAATATGGTATTTGTATCAATAAAAAGCATTTGTAAAAATTTTTAATGTATATTTTATGCAAAAAAAATTGTTCATACTACAAGAGTAGAACAGTTCCGTTCAAAAAGTTAAATTTTTTTATTTAGTGTTGTTGAAAAGACTTCAAGTCTAAAGACTTGAGACTTAAATTTTATAAAAATTGTCACTCTTGTGTTCCTTAATTCAATTAGGTTTATTGAATAATTTTATTCTAGTAGTGTATTGGTTGTTCTGTATGTGTATGAGTCTTTCTGATGTTTTTCTGTATCCTCCAGTTGGTTCTTCAAGTCTGCCCTTGTAGTGGACACATTTAAACTTCTGTTGTGGTTAAACACTCCCAGATGTTCTCTATAAATAACATCAGACACCACTTGTTGAAGTCCTGCTGCCCTTGTTAGCTTTATTGCCAGTGAAGGAAACAAGATCTCATTTTTCTCTCTCCCATCCTTCTGCTTCTCTTCAGGTGAGAAACCATTCATCTGTGAGATCTGTGGGAAGAGTTTTACCAGTCGGCCCAATATGAAGCGGCACCGACGCACGCACACAGGGGAAAAGCCATACCCTTGCGAAATCTGCGGCCAGCGCTTCCGCTTTTCCAACATGCTCAAGGCACACCGAGAGAAGTGCTTCCGGGTCACCAGCCCGGTGACCCTTCAGCCTGCCAGCATGGCGCTTCCTATTCACCTTACTGGCCACACGCCTAGCCCAACCCAGTCCACTCAGTCGACGCCCATGGGCCCCATAATGATCAGTCCCACCTTGGGGGTGCCCCTACCACAACAGGCGGTCCCCACGCATGGCTTCTCTCATTTGCACATGCAGACGCAGCCCTCACAACATCACCCCGCACACACTCCTGTCCATCACACAGGACATGCCCCCATGCAGGCCCGTATTGCATATTGTACAATTTATATTAAACGTTAATTAAAATGACGTTAATTACCTCCACCAAAAAATGAAAATTCTCTCATCATTTACTGCCCCAAACATATATGATTGACTTTCTTCTGTGGAACACAAAAATTATCCATCTTTGTGAGTCCATATAATGCAAGTGAATGGGTTCCTTAAATTTGACACTTTAAAAATTACACAAAATGAACACAGCGGGTGTGTGTGTGGTTGAAAAAATAATATTTTAAACAGTCGAACGTGGGTACATCATCACGTTCTGAAGCATGACGTAAGCGCATTGTGGGTTTTGAAGTGTTAACTTTGAGGTACCCATACACTTGCATTAAATGGACTCACAGATACGGATTATTTTTCAAAAAATTTTGTTTTGTTCCACAGATGAAAGAAAGTCATATACATCTGGCATGGGGGTTGGTAAATTATGAGAGAATTTTCATTTTTGGGTCAATTATTTCTTAACCCATTTGCATTTAGGACTACAGTAAAATTGAGGTTGACCATAAATGTATATTCTGAAAGCTAGACCAACACAAACGTATTGGAAATTTATTGGAGCATTATTTGTTTATTATAACATCATGCACCCATTTAGCTCTACTAAATTAAAATATGGTTATTGTAAATATGGTATTTGTATCAATAAAAAGCATTTGTAAAAATTTTTAATGTATATTTTATGCAAAAAAAATTGTTCATACTACAAGAGTAGAACAGTTCCGTTCAAAAAGTTAAATTTTTTTATTTAGTGTTGTTGAAAAGACTTCAAGTCTAAAGACTTGAGACTTAAATTTTATAAAAATTGTCACTCTTGTGTTCCTTAATTCAATTAGGTTTATTGAATAATTTTATTCTAGTAGTGTATTGGTTGTTCTGTATGTGTATGAGTCTTTCTGATGTTTTTCTGTATCCTCCAGTTGGTTCTTCAAGTCTGCCCTTGTAGTGGACACATTTAAACTTCTGTTGTGGTTAAACACTCCCAGATGTTCTCTATAAATAACATCAGACACCACTTGTTGAAGTCCTGCTGCCCTTGTTAGCTTTATTGCCAGTGAAGGAAACAAGATCTCATTTTTCTCTCTCCCATCCTTCTGCTTCTCTTCAGGTGAGAAACCATTCATCTGTGAGATCTGTGGGAAGAGTTTTACCAGTCGGCCCAATATGAAGCGGCACCGACGCACGCACACAGGGGAAAAGCCATACCCTTGCGAAATCTGCGGCCAGCGCTTCCGCTTTTCCAACATGCTCAAGGCACACCGAGAGAAGTGCTTCCGGGTCACCAGCCCGGTGACCCTTCAGCCTGCCAGCATGGCGCTTCCTATTCACCTTACTGGCCACACGCCTAGCCCAACCCAGTCCACTCAGTCGACGCCCATGGGCCCCATAATGATCAGTCCCACCTTGGGGGTGCCCCTACCACAACAGGCGGTCCCCACGCATGGCTTCTCTCATTTGCACATGCAGACGCAGCCCTCACAACATCACCCCGCACACACTCCTGTCCATCACACAGGACATGCCCCCATGACGAGCCACGCCCCTCAGCAAATCTCAGTGCAGTCTTCTGTCCTGCCCCCTCCCCCTGCCCTGTTCAAGAGCGAGCCAATAAACCACTGCACGCACGAGGACTCGTACCTGCGACAGGGCGCCGCTCCACAACACCACTGAAACACACTCTCTCATACACAAACTCTCTAATGTGAAATCAGGTGCTCGCTGTAGAACAGACGAACAGCATACATCTGTCTAATTCTCACATGAATTGGGAAGCTGGAACTCCGTGAAATGCGATGAAATGTCTATGTGTGTGTGATACAAAACTGATACTACAAACCCACTTGCCACTAGCACTCGTGACCAAACAGGATTGTTAGACAGCTGATCTTGAGATCTGATCTCAAGAACACAAGCGCAAACTTCCTAAAGCATTACTCGGATTCACTTCACCTCGCTTCAAACTCTGTCACAACGATCAAATTGATGGGCCATTGGGATTTCAATGGCACAAACATGTTTCTCTCTCTTGAACTCTTTATTGACTCAGCTGCTGTTGCAAAGGTTCTACGGGTTCAATCATTCACAGGTTAAAGGTCTAGATTTAAAAAAATGCAGTGTAACCTCTTTAGAAATGCAGGTCTTCCCAACAACAGAAAATATTCCTATTCTACATAATGAATCATATACAAGTCATTACACAAAACATAGTATACAGCACTTAAGCAGTAAAAAGCAGTGTAGTCTTCATGACGTTTCTGTTGCCTGATTGTGGTTGTCAGTGGTTTTATTCAAATAATTAGATTTTATATATATATATATATATATATATATATATATATATATATATATATAAAATATAAAAAAAACCGCACACACTCCTGTCCATCACACAGGACATGCCCCCATGACGAGCCACGCCCCTCAGCAAATCTCAGTGCAGTCTTCTGTCCTGCCCCCTCCCCCTGCCCTGTTCAAGAGCGAGCCAATAAACCACTGCACGCACGAGGACTCGTACCTGCGACAGGGCGCCGCTCCACAACACCACTGAAACACACTCTCTCATACACAAACTCTCTAATGTGAAATCAGGTGCTCGCTGTAGAACAGACGAACAGCATACATCTGTCTAATTCTCACATGAATTGGGAAGCTGGAACTCAGTGAAATGCGATGAAATGTCTATGTGTGTGTGATACAAAACTGATACTACAAACCCACTTGCCACTAGCACTCGTGACCAAACAGGATTGTTAGACAGCTGATCTTGAGATCTGATCTCAAGAACACAAGTGCAAACTTCCTAAAGCATTACTCGGATTCACTTCACCTCGCTTCAAACTCTGTCACAACGATCAAATTGATGGGCCATTGGGATTTCAATGGCACAAACATGTTTCTCTCTCTTGAACTCTTTATTGACTCAGCTGCTGTTGCAAAGGTTCTACGGGTTCAATCATTCACAGGTTAAAGGTCTAGATTTTAAAAAATGCAGTGTAACCTCTTTAGAAATGCAGGTCTTCCCAACAACAGAAAATATTCCTATTCTACATAATGAATCATATACAAGTCATTACACAAAACATAGTATACAGCACTTAAGCAGTAAAAAGCAGTGTAGTCTTCATGACGTTTCTGTTGCCTGATTGTGGTTGTCAGTGGTTTTATTCAAATAATTAGATTTTATATATATATATATATATATATATATAGATATATATATATATATAAAATTTAAAAAAAATTCTTACTGGGTAATGCCTGTAGCTCTCCGACGTGTTCAGTCGGAGGTTGAGACTGTTAAGGAAGACCAATGCTGTGATGTGTCATAGGAAGACTGCAACTAAAGGTGAAAAAATATGATTCATGAGTTTTACTGTAAGTTCTATACAACCTAACTCACTTAACCAATTTTTTTATTTGTGTAAAGTAGATAAACATGCTCTGTGAGACTTTTTTTAAAAAGGAAATCAGATTTCTCTGTTGAATTGAGATGTGTGCTTGTGAGAGTGTGTGATGGGTTGGAAGATGAAGAAAGGGTTTGTTTCTAATCATGTATTCAACCGAATGTAGGTGTGTGTGTGTGTGTGTCTTTGACTGATCTTATGCCTGTGGTGCTGGTATCAAAAGCTGCTTTTTAGTTGCTCTGTCTTTTCCTTGTACATGATTCTTTGTCATGCAGATGATCAGTGTGTGAGTGAGTGTTAAAATGGTTGCTTATGTGTTAAATAGTGTGATGTTAGGAGCAGCACAGATAAAGTGATTGAAAGCCTTGAGTCAATCAGACTCGGCTGATTGATTGATTGTGAATTATTTTTGTTCTCTCTCATTAGACAAAGGCATCTGTCCTCTGCACTTTACTGCCATGTAAGAGGTTTGCGCGACTGACAGAATTGTTTATCGCGTGTCTGACATGTGAAAGATGGCTGGCTGTTGGAAAATGGGGAGAATCACATGGGATTTGGCTGGGATCCTTTGTTATATGTCAGAAAACTCTAGTTTGTCCTGTAAGAAGTTGTGTTTTGCCGTCATGCCCCGCCTTCCTCACCTGAGAAGTACACTTATTGGTTTAGATGTCAGTCATGTGCTGTTGTTTTTTTTTTTTTTTTAGCTCAAATGTGTTTTGGGCTATTTGTTGTCTGATTCTCTCCATTCTCCATCAGTTGATGGAATGCACTTTCTAATAAAACCTAGCTAGATAAGAAAAATAAGCAGACCATAATAATGTTTATTCTTGTGAGGTGTTTTTAATCAAATCTCTTCTCATCCTCTCTACCCTCTCGACTTCAGCAGTGTTTTATTTTTAGCATTGTGTCTGGTACAGGAGCATCTGACCTTCATTGAGTTCTGTTTTGTATTGTTTTCCTGTTTTTGAGACTTCATGATGGACTTGCATTAATGCTGGGCCTTTTTTATATTGTTCATTTAACACTTTCTGCTAACTTTAAAGTAAAAAATGAATTCGCTACAAGCACAACTCGCTTGTCTGCATTTGTTAGCTTTTTGACAAGCGTTTAATGAGTCGGATTCGTCCGATGAATGCTGCAATTTGAGTTGTTTTGTTTCGACGTGCGGAGCCGCAGTAATTCTCGCCTGTCACTAGCCACAGTTCGTGCATTTGCTCTAACGCAAGCTTTGTTTTCTTCTCTGACGGAATCGGTTACTAAGTTGCTAGCTTACCCGCTAGCCATCCCATGCAGACTTTGTTTTAGGCTACTTCCTGTTCTATCATCTTTCTATCGGTACAAAGCAAATCCACTCCCTGTCCTTCAGTAGAAAACCAGCAACAGCAGAGGAACGGGAACAGACTTGCGTTTATTTCTTGCGGGGTTTTACATGGAAAAAAGCGTCTGTATGTGACTATTTCCCCGGAAAGCTCTCGTTTACGACGGTGAAAACGAAAAACAAAGCATAGACATGCATCCTGTTTGACTGAGCAGTTCTTCACGGTCACGAATAACTTTGTTTACTGTACGCTGACTAATATATTTGCATCTGTATTGAAGGTTCCCATGACAGGGCTGTTCTGCTGTATGAATATGTGGGGAAGAAGACAGTGGATCTGCAGCACACTGAGGTTCCTGAAGCTTACCGAGGACGAGAGATCGCCAAACACCTTGCCAAGGTTGTAGAAGGTTACTCAAGAACAGTGTGAAATGGTTTATACATGATGATATTACATTGTCTGTTGTTGTGCATTTAAAATATAGTTTGTGGTTGTTTTTGCTAGGCTGCAATGGACTTTGTGGTGGAGGAGGACCTAAAAGCCCATTTAACATGCTGGTACATCCAGAAATACGTCAAAGAAAACCCTCACCCCCATTACTTGGAGCACATCCTCCACTGAGAGTGAGAGATGGGGACGATCTCGATTCTAATAGGATGATTTGGGATTGGGTGGGATGGATATCTTTTGGGATTCCCTAAACTGTCTGACTGGTCTTGAAACTCCACAAAAGAAAGAGAAAGATTTTTTTTTTTTGGAGTGAATGCGATTTAAGAAGGGGAGATCTGAAACTACAAAACGTTTTCGTAGGACATATAAGAGTGTGGACTTTGAGGTGGGCTAGTTTCCCAGTAACTCAAGTGGACTTTCGAGCCAATCCAGAGATGTGAGAGGATTATGACACCCATCATGAATTCAAAATAGGAATAGTTTGATATGATCATAAGAGTGATGTTAGACTCCATATGCCTCTCTGGCCTTACACCTTCAGATTTAGTGGTGCTCACAAGAGAAATAAACACATGCACTTGTGTTCCCACATGCGCAGAACGTGCACACTCAGCCTGGCTTGAAGTTTTAGGGGCATCACAATCTAACCATACTGTCAGAAATGACTGTTTCATTCTGTGCATGTTCTAGGCTGATCTTGTGCTTTTGCATGTGTGTATCTGTGTATACTATGGCCAGTGAAGAGCTCAGACTCTGGAGACAATCGCCGGCCCATATATTCGCAGGGCTGAACCTCTCAGGATGCACAATTTATAAAAACAATAAAGCACCTCTGCATAGAGGATTCTGTTACATATGGTTGGATGTATGTATGTGTGTGTGTGTGTGTGTGTGTGTGTGTGTGTAAGTGTTGAATAACCGAATATGAGCGTATAAATGTCAGTGTGTTAGTTACTCCCAAAATTCCCAGGGGTCTTATTAAAAGTCAGTTGATGAACTGCCTTAAGCCAGATTTAAGCAAGGTTGTTTGCAGGGTAGGCAGCACACGGAGCAGACCATCATGCCATGTTCTGTGCTGACACCACTGATGACCATTGTATTCCTGGTGATGATAAGGAAGGTTTTTTTTTTTAAGTAAAAAAAACTGGGCTCTGTTATGTCAATTTGTGATGTAACAGACTAGAGGCCCGAAATTCATCTGTTTTTTCACACTTATGTACTCTTAATATTACTATTAATGATTTTGAATAAAAAATTTAAGACAAAACTTGGTTGATGAGTGTTTATGTCCATGAGTATGAGTAAATGGCATTTATTCACTATCATGTTGTTCCAAACCAATATGACATTTTTCTGTGGAGCACAAATGATTAAATAAAGATATTTTGAAGAATGTTGGGGTCCAGACAACACTGACTATTATTGCATGATAAACAATTATGGTAAACATATCTTCATATTGTCACAAAATAAACAAAAGTCGGGTTTAAATGACATGAGGGTGAGTAAATAATGACAATTTAAATGTTTCTGTGAACTGTCCCTTTAAATAGCTGAACAGTGAATTTTTGTACCCAATTTGCATTTTTTTTAGTACAGTGACTTTGTAATAAAAGCTGTTTTTAAAATATGTTTTCCATGAATATTTAAAAAAAAAAATTCTAAAGGAATTTGAACACTTTTAGAGGCTAGGAAAAATGATTCCAGAAAGCTTTGTATTTAGTTCCCTTCAGTATCATAGAGAGATATGATTATAGTTTTTATTTTTATATTTTAAGTTTTAGCTATTTTGTTTTTGTCATTTAAAAAAAAAAAGTTGATCTTTTTTATTATAATTGTTGTTTTGTATTTCAGTTTTTAGATATTTTAGTACTTCAAGTTAAAATGAATATGTCTTAGCAACTGTAGGTTAGATCAAATTTTTTTAATTGATATTTTATTTCAGTTAACGTTTATTTCAAGTAACGAAAATGTTTTTAGTTGACTATAATCAACATGGTTCCCTTTTTTTATTGGGGTCCAGACAACACTGACTATTATTGCATGATAAACAATTATGGTAAACATATCTTCATATTGTCACAAAATAAACAAAAGTCGGGTTTAAATGACATGAGGGTGAGTAAATAATTACAATTTAAATGTTTCTGTGAACTGTCCCTTTAAATAGCTGAACAGTGAATTTTTGTACCCAATTTGCATTTTTTTTTAGTACAGTGACTTTGTAATAAAAGCTGTTTTTAAAATATGTTTTCCATGAATATTTAAAAAAAAAAATTCTAAAGGAATTTGAACACTTTTAGAGGCTAGGAAAAATGATTCCAGAAAGCTTTGTATTTAGTTCCCTTCAGTATCATAGAGAGATACGATTATAGTTTTTATTTTTATATTTTAAGTTTTAGCTATTTTGTTTTTGTCATTTAAAAAAAAAAAGTTGATCTTTTTTATTATAATTGTTGTTTTGTATTTCAGTTTTTAGATATTTTAGTACTTCAAGTTAAAATGAATATGTCTTAGCAACTGTAGGTTAGATCAAATTTTTTTAATTGATATTTTATTTCAGTTAACGTTTATTTCAAGTAACGAAAATGTTTTTAGTTGACTATAATCAACATGGTTCCCTTTTTTTAAAATGCACAGATATGCACAGATAATAATAATGCACAGATATCAAATTATTGGTTTATGTGTTTATTCAATTCTAGTTTATTTGTACAGCGCTTTTCACTATACAAATCACTGCAAAGCAACTTTACAGCAAATTAAGTTTCTACAATATTTAGTGGTACACATCACATCAGTAGTGACTGTCAGTTAATGTACATATGGCAGAAATACGGAAAAATAAATTCAAGACGTAATCAAACAGACGATGAACACTATTAACAGCAATTATTATATGAT